TCCGTATATAACACTATCCATGCTCATATGCGAAAGTAATTGTCGTCGGAACAATAAGATATAAGAAAAGATGTTTTAAGTAAAATTATTTATAATTTTTTACATGTGTGTGTATTTAGATTTTGTAAACATATTATATTTTTAGACATATATATATATATATATATATACTTTAAATACGAAACGGCACTAAATTTATTGCGATAAATATTGCCTTGCCCGGATGCAAGAGATCTGGGATCGACTGCCAGTCGAGGCAATATTTTTAGCAATAAGTTATTACAGTTTTTTAAGATTAAATTTGGGAAATTTTGAGGAATTATTATATATATTCAGATCGATTGCATTGAAAGTCCGACCATATCGGCACGCAATCAAGATTTCTGAGATTAATTCATTTAAATAAATATATATAGTAGTTCAACATCTCAACATTCAGATCGCAGTAGCGCTTCGCATTTAAGTATGTTTCTAACATAAACGGTTTTATTTCCAATCTGATTATTATACGCACGCACGCACGCACGCACGCGCGCACGCACGCACGCGCGCACGCACGCACATTAACCTTGTTATTAATTCTTTGACATTTAATTTCTTCCTTTAATTTCTTCTAATAAAAATTAAAGACAATTTCATTCCAAATCCATTCTTTTATAATGGAATTATTGGAAAATGTCGCGTCTGAGGAATTTGCGATATGTAATGAGATAAAATATGTCACGATTTCATTCATTTTTTTTAAAAGTCTCGTATCAGAATCGTGATTTTCAAAAATATGTGACGATTCTGATACGTGACTTTTAGAAAGTTATATCTTATTTCATTACATATCACAAATCAGACGTGATATTTTCCAACAATTCCATGCACTTTCGATTATAAGATAAGTACAGCATATTCAAAATAAATTATAACAGTCAGATACGATATAAAGTTACGTGTACATTCAAGATAAGTATAAATGGACAGTATAAGAATATTCACGTAGCAATTTTACGTTTAGTCAAACTTCTTATGACAGTTTGTCATAAGAAGTTTTGTTATAATCATATCTGTAAATAATAATAATCAATTTGTTAAATTGTTTTTATATTACGATTCAAAGGCAAGTTTAATCTTTGGACATGATTATCAATCCGCTTAATGTTGTTAGACTTTTATTAGCATCTATAAGTTCAATATATCTAACAGAAATATATCTACCAGTAACTGAAGTAGAAATAGAATTAAAAGAAAATATACAAAAATTATTGCTGAATAATATTTTTCTGTATAATGGATTGGAAGTAACAGATAAAACCTATCTCGGTTATCAAGAACCTTAATAAACTACATAATTTTGAAATAATCGAAGATGATGAAGAAGCATGAAACGAAGATAATTTAAGTTCTCATCCTCGATGTTCAAATGATGACCCAGACTTTGACAGTTCTTATAAAAGACGAGCTGTTGAGTATTTGAGTATTAGCGGAGACATTAATGAAAAAAATAAGAACAAAAGGAATCGTCCGCTAAAATCAGTGCAAAACAAATTTAGAAGAATTTCATCTGAACGTCAATTAAGACGATGGGAAAGCAATTACATGCAGGTGGAAATCACATAGAAAAATGATCTTACATCTCCAAATTTACACATAATAAATTTACTACAGCTGTTGAATCAGGATTCGTAGTTCATGATATCGATCTATAAAGGTGGGCTTTACAAGCTCAAGAAGAAATAGAGAATTTAAATCTTATATTTAAAGCATTTCATGGTTGGGTATCAAGATTTAAGAAATCTCACCGAATTGTTTCGAGAAAAATTACGAAATTGTAACTAGAAGAACAATAGAAGATTCCGTTGAGTTGCAAAATACTAATGATTTTCTGAAAACAATAACCATTTATCGAACAGTTCGGATCTGAAAATGTTTTTAATTCTGATTCAAAGTGGTTTCCAATTGGAAATTCATTCTGGAAGATCATTGAATGAAGGACTAAAGAAAATAGAGTATGTTGTGCAATCTATATCAAAAACACACTCATACATCATACAACCAATAATATCGTAATGGAAATTTGCTGTCACCTTTATTTATTGTATTGAAAGAAACTAATGGTATATTTGGAGAGTAGAATACAAGAATACAAGAAACCTTATTTATACCAATAAATGTTATTATGAAAGCATCGAAATCTGATAAAATGACTTCAGGTAATTAAATAAATTTCCTTTTACAATACATTTTCAGATACTGTTTTACTATTAAAAAGTAAATATAAATTTACATAAACGAAATAATATAATGAAATTATAAATCTTATTTCTGTGATATATTTTATAATTTATTTAAGAATCTCATAACAGTCATAAAATGACTTCAGGTAATTAAATAAATTTCCTTTTACAATACATTTTCAGATACTGTTTTACTATTAAAAAGTAAATATAAATTTACATAAAAAAATAATATAATGAAATTATAAATCTTATTTCTGTGATATATTTTATAATTTATTTAAGAATCTCATAACAGTCATAAAATAGTTATTAATTTAACATTTATATTTCTTACAGACCATTTTAAAATGTGGTTAGAAAAAGCTTATTTTTCAAATATTGGTTCTAATAGCGTTCTTCTTATCGATTCATGGACTGGACATTGTCCCAATATTATTTCAGATTTAACACTTGCAGGAAAATATATTACTACTATGATTATACCGAAAGGGATTGATTATACAATAGGGAAAATATAACCATTAGATGTTTACGGATTTAGAATTTGAAAAAATTTTGCTAAAAGATTTTCAGATACTGTTTTATTATTGGAAAGTAATATAAATTTACATGAACGAAATAATATAATAAAATTATAATCTCTGCTACATAATCAATTATCATTCCCGCGATATCACAATTTATTTAAATATTTGTGATTTAAAAGTGATATATTTATACAAACGAAAGACCAGAAGAATTTGAAAATTCAGTAGAATTTAGTTTTGACAAAAGTCCAATATGTTATATCAAAGATTGCAATAATATAGCTGTAGTAAAATGTTCATGTTGAAAGAAGTTATTATGTTTAAAACATTTTTTCAACGAGTATCATTATTGTAATGAATATAATGAGTAAACGATACAAAATATAAATTTATTGTGTATAAACATTTACAAATTGTTTCATCACTAATTAGTATAATATATGTTTTGAAATTATTATGTAAACAAGTAAATAAGACATTAAAGCGTAAAACTGAAAATAACTTTAAGAGAATAATCTTAAGATATTATAAGAAAGTAATGTACAGAGTTGAATAAAAAAGTTTTACTCAGTTTAAGGAGAAATAATAAAAATTATTATAACTCTTAACATTATTTATAATTTGTAATGTTACAAATATCAACCATGTCAATTTCGTTATTCGTTGATTTATATTTTATTGTTCCGATGACAATTATTTTCGCATACGAGCATGGATAGTGTATATACGGAAGCGTTAATAATTAATTCTCGAAAATGATACGTCGTATTGTAACTTTATTACACATGATTAAATTTGTAAAAAAATAATCTTTAAAAAAAAAGATTAAAAATTTAAGAAAATTACGGGTGGGTATTTTGTTAAACAAAAAAATAAAAAAATTTTTTTTTCTTTATAACTTTAAAGTACTTTTGAAATCGTACAATCTTTTATACTCCCGGCAATATTTTCAAAGGAATATTTCACCCCTTAAACATAAATTAGCGCACGTATAAAAAAATACATGTCTCTTAGATTTTCGTGTACAACATATTTCATGGAGAATCAAATCGGTTCCGGACAGTTGTGATACTTCTCTTGTGAGCACACCATGTAATCCTTCCACCATGGATTCTAGTCCAGGCGCATATTTCTTTTGTTTGCATTTCCTCCCGAATCGCAAATTCATGGAATATAGAGAATAAGAGACCGAACTTATATGGACGAGGTCGTTAAAAAGCGAGGTCAAAAGTGATCATCTGAATTAGTCTGATAGAGATAGTCTGTCGCTTTCGTTCCATGACTGTGGCGTTGCAAGCGTTAGTTGCGACGCTCGAGTCAGTTCTTTTCTCTCTCTCTTTCTCTCTCTCTCTTTCTCTCTCTGATGTCATGATGTTCTGCGTGCGGATCTTTTGTAAGCCTCATAGATTTTAAAGTTAGCGTTCGGTAAGATTAATCATCACTTTATGTCCGGCATCGATTACTGTTCATGTCGTTAGATAATTACTCGCGCTGTCAGATAAACGTTTATATTGCAGATTTTTAGTTTCTCGTATTTTAACCTAGTAATGCGATACTGATATCCAAGCTATCGTAACGCACGCAATTACGTCTCTACTTTTTCGATCTGTACATTCCAAATATTCATTTAAATATATTATATATTGGTTATATTAAACCGCCTTATGGCTCGTGAGTTAGAAACAATGAATAACATTTCTTTGTGAACTTAGTGATTTCCTGCCAATCTTCCTTCGCCATTAGTTAGCCGGCGCCCAGACACGCTCGGCGCCACATTGGCCACAGCAGCCACAATGTAGTTACACGACACCGTTCTCGCAGTTTACATGGTAGGTCAACCAACCAATTTTACATTCTTCATGCAATTTTAATGACAATTTACGTTCCTGTTACTGTCAGAGCATGTCAAAGAATAATTCGTCTTTATTTTTAGGTTACGCATGTTCGGTTATGTGTGCGTAAGCGTATATGAGGAGTTTTGCGATTCGAACATCGCCTACGGAGCACCACCAATACCAATTCAGAAATCTAATTTTGACCACACTTTTTAAAGCCTAGTTCGGTATCCTGTTCTCTATCTTCCAAGCGCAAAATTGTTGGCCTAGTTTACATCGTGCACTTGATACGGATATTAACTACTAATTTTCTATTGAATGATCTTAATTTCGGTGATACGTGTAAACATACATATATACAATATGTGTATTTAATTTATTATTTTGGTGCATATTGTACCAATTTAGTACATCATTCTTTGAATATATCACTGAAATTAAATTAATTTAATAGAAAGTTACTAATTAGTATGTGAATCAAGTGCATCATGTAAATTAGGCAATTGGGACGTAACACCCTTCCCTTAGTCTGCATAATTATGACTACTTTATGACTAAGCAAAGGGCATCGTGTCCCAATAATCTGCGATTCTGAAAATGCAAACAAAAAAAATATGTGTTTTGACGATACTTTTTGAAAAATTCTTTTTTTGTGATGAAGACACTCATCGTGAATACGAAGCGTCCATTGCGGTTAATATTGATCGTGTCCACATCTTTGTAATTAATATACATGAATACACAGTCTCATTACTTTATATTAAAAAAATCTTATTGCTTGTTTAAAAAATGGTCGTTTTATTATTACATTAACCATAGATGATATCAATAAGCGTGTATATTTTCTATTTGTTTATAATATTACAATTTAAGGCCCCTGACTACTCAAGAACTCTGCGTTGACGGTGGCGACACAGAATCAGACGGCGGTCTGGCGAAACCGGTAGCCACACACTTAAGCACGAGCCCATGTCCGTGTGCTCGTCTGCAGCGCGTCTAGAGTGAATGAGACAGCGAGCTCCTCACATTAGTCATTTGTTTCAAGTAATAGAAAATGCTTTCTCGGCAATCTCGGCTGCTCAGCAGCCCTAGGCATCAATAAGGGGCGGGGGGCATTCTAAATAACATATAAGTAAATTCATTAATTTTAATAAATTGAAATAATAGTGTATCCCTCCTATTAATCCAGAATAGGATAAATCATGTTAAAACGCAACAGTTTACGAGATATTTAATTGTTTACGATTTTTCATGCACATTATATTATAGTATATCTCCTCCCTTCCTTCATAAATTCGCGTAGCAAGAATAGTTTAGTAGAAGTAGAATATTATCGAAAAAAAATTATAAACCAACATTTTTTTCACAAAAATCTTGAAAGGCCACCAGAAAAGAAATGCGTATGTTTGAGATTCGAGAATTGTCAAGAAAATATGCGGAAAAAAATCAAATAGTTGCAAAAAGAAGCATGTTTTTCGCTTATAAAACGAAAGATATTGATTGTATGGAAAAAAATTCGTTATAAAAAATGTAGATATTCGAAATGCGTATAAAATGAAACGTGGAACATTAAAACTGATCTATTCAGTAGAAAAAAAAAATACCGAAAAAAGCCTTTTTTTCCACTCGCTCTCTATTCATTGAGATTTAAACGCAAAGCTTCGAAATTCTCGTAAAATGTAGCCCTTATAATAACAAACAAAACTAGCCCTGAACAAGTCTGAAATGTTCCTTAATTTTTATAAAAAGCCATTTATTCACTAAAAACCTGTCTGCGGAAAACATAATTTCTTCATTTTTGAGTAGCCGCCAGCAATTTAGAGATGATTTTTCTTTTTCAAGAGTTGCATTATCACGTACACTTAATAACAAAATGATTTTTTGCAGTTAAACTATTATAAAACTTTAAAAAGTGGGTATCATTCTCCGTATAAAAAAATAAAATAATTTCGTTAATATGCATTATATCAAATAGCCATGTGAAGCATTCGAAATCTGACATTTTTTTACGAATTTAAAAAAAAAAGATTACTCTTCGATTATTAGGAGCCGATTAACAATTTTTTTTCAAAAAAATCACTGTGATTCTAATTTTTAAGATTAAGAGTTCCGTCTGGCACCAATTTGTCAAGGAAAAATTGAATTTGCTGTTAAAAATATTTCGAATTGTAACCATGAAATTTTTATTTTAAGAAATTTTTTGTTTCTTGAATTTTTATTTTTTCGGTTTATTACTAAAAGATCACGTTTGAGTATGGAGTGCATGTCTGATTAACAAATTTAAGTCACATTAGTTATGTTTCTTTATTTAATATGCTGCAAAAGAGTGTCCAATTGGACAATTAAATGTATGGAATTATCAATACAAAATTGTTTTAAGTGCAGATGCAAATATGACATATGTAAACAATAATTAATAAATAATTTGCCAAATGTTAGCGTAACTGTTAAAGATATAACACTAACTTTCGCAAATATAAAATTAGTGTTAAAATATATTTTGCAACTAGTTCAACAGTTACAATAACATTTGGTAAATTATTTATTAATTATAATATTTGTTTACATATGTAATATTTATATCTGCACTTAAATTTACAAAAACTATTATAATTAATGATAATTTAATTGTCCAATTGGACATTTTTTTACAGCATATTAAATAAAGAAACATAGCTAATGTGACTTAAATTTATTAATCAGACATGCACTCCATACTCAAATGTGATTTTTAGTAATAAACCGAAAAAATAAAAATTCAAGAAACAAAAAACTAAAAATTTCATAGTTATAATTACTTTGCGAAACATTTGGTTAAGTTATTTGTTTATATCTCGTCGAGCTACCCTAGATTTAAAAAAATCAGGTTTCCACGTCAATTTATTGCTGAGAAAATGTAAATTTAGCAAATTTTAATGCACGAAATCAAATACGCGAATCGCCGAGCGCCCCGATCTTCCCCACTCGACTGCTACCTTCACTCCGCTCGGCGCGCTGCTATGCTCGCGTTTGTCAGCTTTCCAATGGTTTTAAACAAACTTTTCCGGCAGTAAAAAATTCGAGAATTTTTCAACATCAAATTCAATTGATAATTGATGCCAGACGAAAAATTCTTAATCTTAAAAATTAGAACCACAGTGATTTAAAAAAAAAAAAATTGTTATCTCGGCTCCTAATAATCGAAAAGTAATCTTTTTTTTAATTTATAGAAACATGTCAGATGTCGAATGCTTCACACAGCTAACTGATATGATACAAATTAACGGAATTATTTCCATTTTTTTATACGGAAAAAAATACCCCCTTTTTAAAGTTGTTTTATAATAATTTTAACTGCAAATGTTTTTAACTGCAAAAATTGTTTTGTTATTAAGTGTATGTGATAGTGCAATTCTTGAAGAAGAAAAATTATCACTGTAAATTGCTGTGCGACTGGTCAAAGATGAAGAAATTAAATTTTCCGCAAATAGATTTTTAATAAACAAATGACTTTTTGCAAAAACTAATGAACATTTCAGATTTGTTCAGGGCTAGATTTGTTCGTCATTACAAGGATTACATTTTACGAGAATTTCAAAGCTTTGCGTTAATCTCAATGAACAGAGAGTGAGCGAAAAAAGGCCTTTTTCGATGTTTTTTATTTTTTTTTTCTACTAAACTAATAGATGGATTTTAATGTTTCACGTCTCATTTTGTAATTATTTCGAATACTTACATTTTTTATACCAATTTTTTTTTCATACAATCAATATCTTTCGTTTATAAGCAAAAAATGCAACTTTTTGCAACTATTCGATTTTTTTCGTATATTTTTTTCACAAATCTCGAGTCTCAAACATATGCATTTCTTTTCTGATGACCTTTCGAGACTTTCGTGAAAAGAAATGCTGGTTTATAAATAATTTTTTTCCGGTAATACACTATTACTATTAGGTGTTGGAATTAATTCGTAGCGTTTTACAAGTGATGGGAAGTACTTTCATTAATGTATTTTTTAATGCTCATGTGAAATAAATAACATTCTTTCATTAAAAAACGCTACGAATTAATTCCAACACCTAATACAATTTATTAAACTTATATGTTATTTAGAATGCCCTCCGCCCTTTATTGATGCCTAGGACCGCCGTGCGGCCGAGATTGCCGAAAAAGCATTTTCGGTCACTTGAAACAAGTTACTAATGTGAGAAGGAGCTCGCTGTTTCGTTCACTCTCGGCGCGCCGCAGGCGAGCACACGGACATGAACTTGTGCTTGTTTGTGTGTTACAGCACCGCACCACGATAAATGGTCGAATTTATAGGCGTGGAAAAGTGACGTTTTGACGATGAAATTTATGTTGTGCTATTTTGTTATTATTTGCTTAATTATGAAAATGTGACTTGTTTCGACTTATCGAAATCATAATTATCGATGAAAACTTATCTTGGAATTGTATATGTAAAAGCGTATATTTTACTTGTTTCAACAGTTGTCGGAACGTATGTTTCTGCCCGAATATAGGCTCACTTTACGTGCCTTTTACGACCATTTACTGACTGTCAACGGAAGAAAGGACAGTTTTCATCGATTTTTACAAGTGTTTTAAAGTGATCTCGTCATTTCGTTTCATCTAAATCGTTTTTATTTAAAAATGGCATGCAATATAAATTAACGTGTCATTCCGCGCTTCTGACGTCACGATTCCAACATGACCGCCGCGAGGCAGAGCCTTAATTGTAATTTTTAATTACAATTAAATTATAATATTGTAATAAAAAAAAATTTGAGAGATTAATAATAATAGATTTTGTATAACTGTTCGTGTACATCCGATCATTGGAACATCTATTTATTTTGACATCGCTATCGCAAATATTTGATTTTATACTTAATGCGTACAAACGTTCATAAAACTGTATTTATGTAATTGAGTATTTCATGAAAATTTAGATATAAATAAAAGAGAAAGTAATTTAGAAATTATAATAGTATCCTAGAATTTTGTTAGAGAATATAATATTATACGCAATACTGTTATTTTTAAGTATAATAGGTTTTATACGAATTTTTAACATTAATTATTAACAATTAATCTACATATTAAAGTTATGAAATATGTCAATTTTTTGTTTGTCCAAATTTATCATTTTCTAGTTTTTTTGTTATATTGTTGTCAAGTAACAATTTTATAATAATATAATGTTCTTAGATTGCACAATCCATAAAAAAAATAATGAAATAACAAAAAAAATATCAATTATATAATTATCAATTATAATAGAAATTGAAATATAAGGCGTATAATTTTGCTTATACCGTTTTTTTCCGAAATTCGAGGCTTTATTGTAAAAAACTGATTATACATTTATGATTCAAAGTATTGTCCATCGCTGGCCATTACTTTCTCCCATCTTTCGGGCAGCATACAAATCCCGCGTCGAAAAAACTGGTCATCTTTTGAGACGATTCACGAATCGATTCAATTTTTTATTTCTTCATAAGACCGGAAGTGCTGGTCAGCCAGGTCGTGTGCCATTGATTGAAACAAGTGATAGTCAGAGGG